TCGTTGCCAAGCGACGAAAACCCAACCCCGATGGTAAATACCGGGAGGGGGGTGGGGGGGTGGTATTTTTTGCAACACAAGGTGTACGCGGTTGTTTGGTGTTGGTCGAACGGTGTATGTGGAGTTCGTTGGTTGCAAGCACGCCTCGAGCATGTTGGTCTCCTGCGGTGAGTTTCTACTATCACTCTCGTCCCGCTGTTTTTGTTTCAGCGCCTTGATACCGTTGTCTGCGCCCCTTGACATGCGATCTCAAACGTGCTCTACGCAGCGACGCTACAGAGCTCGGCTACTTTTCCGTCCAGTTCATAACGCCGTGAGTCGTTTCCGTACCGTTTAGTTTTTTTTCGTCTGGCGCGCACCCCTTGCGGCTATTCCGCCCTTGCCGTCGATGTACAAACGCGTTTCAACCCTCTCATGTGCAGGAGAAGCGATATCGCCAAGCTGATGGCGTTGCGCGTGGTCGCCTTTCCACGACACGTATATTCACTCCTACAAGTCTCCGCCGCGGGTGTCCCCCTCCCTTTCCCTTTGCTCTCGCCCAGGTACCCGGCGCGCGCTTTCGTGGGAGACACGTACTGCTACTTCGCCGGCATGACATTCGCCGTGGTCGGCATCCATGGCCACTTCAGCAAGACTCTCATCCTCATGTTTTTGCCCCAGGTGTTAATTTTTTTTCAATGTCGTCGCTCTCTTCCTGCTCATATTCTCGTCGCTTAGTGTTTTGTGTTTTCTGTTTTTTTCTTCAAACAAACACAACAAATAATATTTTCCAGAGATTTGGGTCCGGGATGGATATGCAATTACATAATAATTGTAAGGTATTTGCTTTTCTTCTGTAGTTGCTGGACTTTTGTTTTGGTGGTGCCGATATCCCCGCCCGTTCTCTGGTCGCCCTCCGTTCGTCGGTATTCCCACCGTTTCCAATGTCTTTGCGGCAGCTTGTTGTCGTGTCCGATGCGCGATTTGCCTGCCTTCCCTGCCCGTTCGGTACACAACCCCACTCATGCTTTCAACCAAACACGGCGTCGAGAGCAATGCATTTTTATTCGCGTGTCTAATTTTCCGGTTTTGTTTGTTGCGAACGCCTTACTTCGGTGTGGCCTGTTTTTTGGCAGGTTGCGAATTTCCTCTTGTCGGTGCCGCAGCTGTTCAAGGTTTTGCCTTGCCCGAGACATCGTCTGCCTAGGTGTGAGTTCTCTGCGTCCGTTTTGGCATATTCGCAGGGATGTGAGCGAGTTAGGTTTTTACTGGTATGGTCATGCTGCTCAGGCTGCAAGGGGAGGGGAGCTCGGCAATTGGGGGATGACTCATCGCCGTGCATGCCGTAGTCGTTAGACCACTGACCTCGCATTCCTACGACGACGGGCGGGCTTTGATTCTTCAGCCACTAGCACGTACGATGCTACCACTTGAGAAAATGGTGGCTGCGGTAGGAACGCGACTTTGTTTCCAACCGCGCTTTTTCTCTCAGCGGTCGTGGGCCATCTCTAGGGCGGCTTCGTGCCAAGGCTAATCCGAAGCGAAAAAGCAAATCATGTTGCATGATTTGCGTTGCAAGATGTTCACCCGCCCAATACGGGGCACCCGCCCGGCATTCGCCCACCCTGTCGGCTGCCCAAGACTACACTTCAACTCCAGTTGAGCTTTGTTTTCGGGCGGGTGTTGTGTGGTTTTTGTGGCACGACGCTCCTTTTGGGTAGGATGGACACCGAAAAGGGACTGCTAGTGCCGTCGACAATGCCGTACAAGAGCGAGTTTCCGGTCTGGCGGTTCCTCAGATCGGGTCCAGGTGAGGCGCTTCTCCCCCCCTTGCCTTCGCGTAAAAGCTGCTCCGATTGCCCTGTTCCGCCTACCCTCTCCTCAGAAATTGTTTTCTCCCGCACCGATATGGCTTTTGTTCCGAGGTCAGTGTTCCCCAGGTGAGGGACGCGGGTGAGGGGGGGTGACGTGTGGTTGATTGAGTCCATGCTAGCCCCGCTTCAGCCGCTTGCCATGGGTTTGTTGTGACGGTGAAGTGTCTTATCCATTCTATCTGGCAGCGCTGCCTTTATGGATCGGCGGTCGGGAACGAAAAAAACGCCCCACCAAAGGATGTCTTGAGCGGGCCCAACGCTTGTCCCGACCCTTTGGCCTGGCTTTCGTGAGACCCACACGCTGACCTCGACACATATCGTAACATCTCGCTGGCTGATCGTGGAATTTATGCGCTGATATCGCGGTACGAGGAAAGTGAAGTACCAATAGTTTCCTATGCTCTTTCGCTATATATACATACATATATATATATATATATCTCTCTCTCTCTCTCTCTCTCTTCTCTGTACTCTATCCCTCACTCTCTCGGACTCATTCTCCCTTGTGCTTTGGTGAAGCTAGCAGCCCTAAGTTTCAAGCGACAGATACCTACGATTCAAGAGTTGGTACTGCTGCAGTTTGGCCAATTGTCGTGTCGTGGTGGTGGACCACTTTTTGCTTATCACTGGGCCTTCTACCGAGGGTTGAACACCCCAAACATGCAAACGCGAATACGTGCGCTGACTCATTACGCCTGCTCGGTCGGTGTCCCTTTGCCCTCCGTGCGGGACGGCCGTCCGTCCAGACGGTGAGGTGATCAACCTGACTCTCATCAACCTCGTCCTTCACGTCGTCGGGCCTTTGCGAGAGAGATCCCTCTGCACGCTGCTTCTGGTAAGGCGACAGGGAATAGTAACCGGAAGAAATGAGGGACAGGCGTACAGCGAAATGGTTGGGTGGTCTCTCTGGCAGGCGTGCTGCCGCCTGTATGGCTGCCTCTGTCAAAATGTGTGCGGTATGTACTCTATATCCTGTGGACGATAACAGTCCACGAGCACATATTTCGTTCAAAGCCGCAGTTTCATCTTAAGTTTCTGTGTCGTGTTGAATGTTTGGCATTTCATCCATGCGGCTTTTTACAGGTTTTGGTCGGTGACCTTCAACACATGCCCGTGTGGTTTACGGCTGAATTTCTTGTCGTTTGGGTATCTCGAAGCGACAGTAATATGTGACATTCGTTTGCGAGGGACCTCGCGCCCTTGCAGGCTTCGCTTTCGTTGCCTGGTTCTACACTACATACGTTCTCCTGCTGCTGCCGGTGGCAAGTGTCTGCCGCTTACACCTTGCGTGCTTCCCGTTAGAAAAATTTTCCGTTCTCTGGCGTTCAAGCTAAGAATGGGTAGACTATGAACCTTGAGTCGGCATCCTCGAGACGGCGGCGACGGGGCCTGGGGGGGGAATGCTGTGTGAATATCATCCTTTCTTGTCATCGAGTTCGAGATTTGTTTTTTCACCCTTTCGTCTGTGTATGTTTCTTGAACTTACTCAACGACGAAAAGCGGCCCTCGTGCGTACTGCAGGCGCTGCAGGCTGCTTCGTGTGGCTTCGGGTTCGTGATCCGCTACTACTTTGCTGGCCTGGTGTACGGGTCGATGTGATCGGCATGGCGTTTTTGCTGCCTAGCTACCTCTCCTGCACGAGCGCGTGTCGCTTCGGGTTCTTCATCCGCTACTATTTTCAGGCCTGTACGGGGCGATGTGAACCACACGGCGTTCTAGCTGCCTAGCTGCCCCCAGCACCTTGTCGCGCAGGTCTCACTTCTCTGGAGCTAAGTTGGATCCCTGCTCTTCGGCAGCGGCAGCGGCCGCCTCGCTACAAGCCGGCCTCGCAGCTCGAATTTGGGTAAAAGCTGATACGAGCGCAGCGTGAAGCAGGGCGCAGCGAGAGTTTAGGCGTTAAGGCATGAACGAGGAACTTGGGTATTTAGTAGGCGTGTTAGGTTCACGCATAGAGGCGGAACGAAGCATGCGATGAACTTGCTGGGAGTGCACCGGTACGGGAACGTGGAACCCCGCTCTGCCCGACCGGTGCGTTTATTTTCGGCCGCTGTGCCTCCGTTGGTGTTGTTGGAATTCCGGGTAGAGCAAGACGTCCCGAGAGAAACACAGCAGGGCTTACGTCGCGATCTTTTAGGATCTTCGTTGCAACGTGCAACAGAACCTCCAAGATATTGCCTCGTTGCTATATGAGACGAGCCGCTAAGTATGGCCGCTGGCCAGGCGAAGATTTTTATTTTTGAGGAGACCTACTAGTTTCCAAACGCGGCAAGAACGCAATCGGCACGAGGCCTCGTGCTGCCTTGCTCGCATGCATCGACCACCACGGTATGTGGAGCCCACAAACACCCCATGACATTGCACAAAGAGAGCATGTAATCACTTTGGCCTCTCACCTTTGTCCGACGCAAGTTGTTTCCACACGAAACTTCGTAACCGTCCGCTTTCGTTAACTGTATGTTGACTTTGGCTTGTTGTGTTCGTGGCCAGCGTGGAATTCCGTCCGCTGAGGTTTTTGAAAGCTTGCGACGTGTCTGACGTCGTATCCCCAGTCCCCTCGGATTTGTCACGATAAGGTATGATCGTTTTCTTTTTCTCCGTCGCGACGGTTCGACCACGTGAGTGACTGCCGCGAAGTCGTCTCTACGCGTTCGATCGGGTCCGCCTTCGGTTTCTGGGCGGTGCCCGACTGAGTCGTGCACTACCCACGCGATCAGAACAATTCCAGCTAGCTCGTGGAGATGATTAGTGACGCTTGCCCGTCACCCTGTGTGCGCGCTCTCTGCATCCGCTTTTGAGGGTGGAGCAATTTACCTTGACACCCCGAGCAATACTGCTGTGATTGTGCGCGCCTGGCGGCTCGTGTAGCTTCTGGCAAACGTTTGAGCTCCCTTAGGTATATCGGCTGATGTCGAACGGGAAGAACAAATGGTGTTATCCAGGTTCCACCCGAGGATGGAGCCACGCCTCCTACCCTGCCCCCGAAACCACGCATCGTGCTCGTGCACATCTCCGCTAAGCAATGAACAGAGGGGGAGGTGCCCTGAGTGCGTTCTCCGCGGTCTGCAAACTTTTGCATCTCCATGTGGTCCTCGTCCGGGAAATGTAATGTACTGAGCAAACAACGTTCCCGAGACCGTTCCACTCCACCAGATGGTGGGAAAAATGAATGTGCCCATTCGTTTCCTGGTCGTGGACCTGACGTACAGTTACAGGAGTTGATTTCAACGTTTGTTCATACAAGCCTGTGCGCGGCAGATAAGTAGACAATAGTACGTACTGTAAGGCACTCTTACCCGGCAACGCCGTCCTTTCGGTCCTAGTCTATTACTCCTGTAACACATTTACAGTTTGTGCCGCATGCAGAAACAAATGGAGATGGATTCATCCAAATGGAGATGGATTGAACGGAATTATATATAATAACTATTTTAGCCGTTTTAAACGTTTCCAAAGATTCCAATTTTTTTCCAAAGCTCCAAATATTTGGAACCTGTACGTAGGCGTTCTTCCAAAAAATTCAAAAAAATTTGGAACGAAGTCGGGCCCGAAAATTTGGCGCCAGTAGCTTCCAAAATTTGGAAGCCTTTTTGGAGCACTTTCCAAATCACCCTTATTACAGACGCACGCGCGGGCTGCGACGTCCGCAACACGAGTGCCCCTCGCCATAGGAAGTCAGCTAGGGTTGTGTTGGGGGCATGGGCGACCGTAGAAAGCGCGGTGCGCCTACAGAATCGAGTGGCTCCCTTCGCCCACGGGCACGCGCTCGGCCAACACACACCCAAGACGTCCTCAACAAGCTCAAGGCAATAGCGGCGATTGTGCTGGTGGTGACTGTCGCCACATCGACTGTCATTCAGCGCCTAGCACCCAAGGCGCGGCAACCTATCCACGAGCCGCGACGCCTGGATTGGGACGAGCACTTGGAAGACGTGAGGCGCAGGAAGCTCTTCCGACGCATGTACAGGATGGAGGAGCACAGCTTCAACAAGCTCGCGGATCTTTTACGACCCATCCTCGAGCGCAACGACTTCTACGCAAGTAAGACATACCCACACAGAGTGCGCTCGCGCTTGACGAAGAGAGTAGGGTTAGTTTAGGTTAAGGTTGTCCTGCCGTCGCGAACGCTAGCCGCTTGTTTATTGCAGTTGTATGTTTCTTGCTCATCGCTGATGTCCGCAAGATGAATTTGCACCGCCACGGACATCATGCAGCGCAGGAGACGCCGTGTAGATAGCATGTGTCCTGTTGTCCCTCCGGCGA